CTTTTTCTTTTTCTTTTTCTTTTTCTTTTTCTTTTTCTTTTTCTTTTTCTTTTTCTTTTTCTTTTTCTTTTTCTTTTTCTTTTTCTTTTTCTTTTCTGCATAGAGGATACTTCCAGGTGTTGACAGGGGGCAATGACTGGCAACAACCACATTAACCCCTTTTTCTTTCTTTGAAATGTAATCTTTCTTTCACCTTCAATTTCCTCCAGTGTAGTGGAACAAGGAGAAACTTCATAGCTTAGGCATATCATGTAACGGTAGCTCTTATTATCTTTCATATAGGGCATAAAACGTGTTGGAGGGTGGTTTTGGCTGGTCACCCCTCTTTGTTGATACCCCTGAACAAGGTAAATATCTGTATATTCTCCCCATCGCCACAAGGTCCTTCTGACATCGGGCAGATATACGTCTTTGTTTCCTTGTCCTACGACTCATACTTACAATGGGACTGTTCAACACCATTGTTCTTTGAGCTCGAAGCTCGGATTCTCGTTGTGGCGACATGGGACTCTCTCATATCACATGTGTGGGATTATGTTGTGCCCAAGTCTAGCTCTCAGACAGTCATGATATTTCCAACGGATATCCTTGTCGTGCTCTGCCAGGAAAGCTACAGGTTCTATTGTATAGAAGTAATTATACTGTTAACCCTTCTACAAGTTGTGCTTGCTTCAACGTTTTCCCAAGCTCAAACGAAACTTCCGCCAGCTACTCAAACCTACTGCAGAGTGACCTGGAAATATTCAAAGTCCTAGAACACAAGTCAGCCACTATTAAACATCATCTGAAGGGCTCTACAATTCCCACATGCAGTCTCCGTCTGTACTTACCGCAGGGTTCAGAATGGGCAGCTTGTTGCCAGTGGTGTAGATGGCAAAGTGTGTGCCCACAAAGTTCTGCCACCCGTCAAGAAACGCCTGGAGGTTATGATTCTCCACGCTGGCAACCCATTTCGGCGAGCACGTGTTATTGCCAGCGGCGTACCCCAGACGGTACCCAACATCCCGGGCCTCGATAAAGAACCGCACAGGCTGGCCGGCCGCCACGGCCTCGTCGGGGATGAACGTCTCGTTCAGCGTAGCCTCGGGGCCCGTACGCGTCCTCACCACGACGGTGCGCTCCCCGGTCTCCCCGTCCAGCGTCACCGCAATCTCGTTGTGATAGTGCAGGTTCAGATAGACAGCAGCGCCGGCCTCCTGGCGCGGCGACGAGGGCTCGAAGGCGCTCAGCTCGGTGCTGAACGTCTGGTTGAGGGCGTCCTGCCTGCGGAGCAGCGCGGCGGGGGTGTCGCGGTGCGACAGCGTGTAGGGGTTCCCGTGCAGCCGGAGCTTGCCGGGGGCGGCGTCGAAGTCCATGAACTCCTTGTACGGCGCGCGGAGGAAGTAGTAGTTCTTGTCGGCCAGGGCGCCGTCAAAGTCGTCGCGCCAGACGCGCGGCCGCTCGAGATCGTAGAGGACGTCCGGGTCGTGCTCGACGACGGGCTCGCCGTTGTTGAAGATGGGCCAGCCGTCCTCGTCCCAGTGCACGGGGACCAAGAAGGTCTCGCGGCCCAGCTGCGGGCGGCCGGAGCTGTTGGTCGGGTTCTGCGGGCGGGTGGCGAGGAAGACGGCCCACCAGGACCCGTCGGCGGCTTCGACCATGTCGGCGTGGCCCGTGGACAGGACGGGGCGGGACATGTCGGCGCCGTTGAAGAGGAGGGGGTTGTGCGGGTTGTGCTCCCACGGGCCGTCGAGGCTCTGCGACCGGTAGTTGTTGGTCGAGTGCAGCTCGGCGGTGCCCGAGTCGGCCGTGATCATGTAGTAGGTCCCGTTGATCTTGTAGAGGTGGCTGGCCTCGACGAGCGGGTTGGCGATGTCGGGCGGCACGGTCGAGGTGTGGAAGAGCCGCGAGTCCGAGAGGGAGTTGCCCGTCTCGATGTCGACTTCGGTGATCCAGTTGGCGAAGGTGCCCTCGTCGACGAACTCGGCGAAGGTGGACGTGAAGTAGACGCGGCCGTCGTCGTCGAAGAACAGGTCCGGGTCAATCCCCCACTGGTCGAAGTAGACCGGCTCGCTCCAGGAATCCTCATCCCAGATGTTGTCCGTCTTGACGTAGAAGGAGCGCGGGAGTTTGTTGACGTGGTCCGGGGGGCTTATGGCGTCGAAGAAGGTGGTTGTCATGTAGAACGTGCCGTTGTGATATCGAAGAGTCGGGGCGAAGACGCCTCCGCTCGGGGCAGTGCCGCGGAGGGGAAGCTGGGAGGGTCTTGTGAGCGCATGGCCGATGGTTTCCCACTTGACCCTATGAGACGGACCATGTCAGCAAAGGGAGCTCGGAGCCGCCGACATTGAGTTGAGGGGGATGATGTGATTTACAGGTCCTTCGAATGGTAGATGGGAACACCTGGGAAGAATTCAAAGCTGGACGTGATGACAAAGAAGTCCTCGCCGACTCGGATGATAGACGGGTCAGGGTTGAAGCCGGGGATAATGGGGTTGATCAGGCCGCTGACGGCACCTAAAGGGAAGACCCAGTTAGCTCCTGGGCAACTGTTCTGTAGGTTAAAGGGGGTAGGCAGTTGTAGCCTTATAGGGTCACGCCGTTACGGACCTGACAGTAGACAGACGGCCGTAGCCAGTCTCGACAACATTGATACCATCATGCTATCGTATATCACCTTGGGAGGTTTGCGACGTGTCTAGACGAGACTCTAACCACCCTCTCTTGGAGCCCGTCTGGTCTGGTACCACATCGCCCTTTTATAGCAACGGAGCTGTTGGAGCATCGGGGTACTGGGGTTCAGATCTGGAGATGATCTTCATCTGCCGGTGCGGACCCGGGACCTGCGCCCCTCATGCCGCAGGTCCGGGTAATTCTCTGGGTGAATGCAACCCTGGGCAAGGGGTCGAAATCTACCGAAAGCGCCTTGGGAAGCGCTCCAGTAGGGAGGCGCCGGTAAACAAGGGGCCCCGAAAATTCTGGGGTAGTATCCCGGGATATAGGGCTGGGCATTGTCTGTATTACGCAAGCCAGCGCCCCTGGCATCTATTTACGTTTGAATTCGTGTTTATCCTCGGATGCGACTCGCGGGATTTGGGAGAAAACCCCCCCAGCCCTTTTTCTTTTTCTTTTTCTTTTCATTTATTTTATATAAAGAAAACGAATAACGGAACAAGGGTTACTGCCACTCACGCTCGATATCCATCCCAAGTTCCCAACACAGCCAGCTATTTTCAAAGTGCGAACAGGTTGGAATCTGGTTCTATCCTGTGTGCTCTAGTCCCATGAACTCCGTGGTTGACACTGGTTGCGTCTGAGACACCGAACGATGGACTCTCGGCTCAGATCTTCCTCTGACTTTACCCGTTCAACCACGTCGTGAGCACGAGTACTAGATCCACAGCGCTTCCTTGGGCAAGCATGAAGGACTCAAAATATCTCGTGGCCGAAAACGAAGAACAGTTCAACGTCAATTCCAACAGACAGCTTGCACTTCGAGTACTCGTCCGTTGCCGCAGTGTTTGAGAAGCCACACGGGACATGACCTCGAGTTGAACCCTTATTTGCCAGACTATCTACAGAAATGGAGAGTAGTCAGAGTACCCTCAGCTTGTTGAGATTCTCAATCACGAACAGGATGACCGTCCTGGCCCCCTTCCTAGCGATTTTTAGGTTGAAGAGGTTTGCGCCGCAGTCTCCGACTCCATCACCGACACAGAGCCATGTTCCTTTCTCCGCCATGTATCCGTATTGAAGACACGGGAAGAACTCCTATGTGCCAGGAATCCCAGGATCTCGACGAATCCCAGGCTGAATTAACGTTTCCAGGTTTGGCAGGAAGGAGTTTATTTAATTAGCATGTCATAACTCATAAGACCCTCAAAAGAGGCCTGATTTCTAATGGTCCTCTATTGAAGCTCAAGACGAGTGAGAAGACATCATGCGGCTTGACTTGAGGACCAGTTTCCGGACCTTGGTCAAGTTAGTTGACACTGGAAGTTGCAACTTACAAGTCCAATGCGGCAATGCCGTCGGCCGACACTTGTTACTGGTGAATTGCAATAGGCTTAACTCTTGATTATACGGTTGCAACACCTGCATGCAAGGGACACTGAGCCTCATAATCCAAGCGTTAGAAGTCGTATAGTAGTCGTGTTTCATTACAAGTTGCACATATGGACCATGGCGACGGGGACCTCTCGACAAAGAGATGATTCGTGCCGGCTTGATAAGAAATTGGTGGGACCGATAAGGTGCCGATCCGCCGTGGTGGTCCCAGCACGACGGATTACTGACGTCAGGGGATAATGAGATTCGTATGACATCATTATGGCTTCGCCGTTTAATGCCACCAATCGCATGCCAAAAGCCGCAAGAGTCGAAGGAGTAATTATGTATTCTGCGTTCGGAGCAATATGCCCGGCTTGATTGTCGTCGGGTTCCAGGAACACGAAAACAAGACGACCTTGGCGCTCGGACAGCAATGCTTGTTTCTTGATTGTTGTCACATCTCGAAGACTTATATCTGTATCCCGCTTTCCACTGTCCAATGCCATTCTTGCCCGCCTCTGCTTCTGTCTAGCCCTATATCACTGCTTGAAGATTTCGGTCATGTCCGTCACGCCCCATCATAACGGAATAATTACGTCTGGGGCCGTCACGGAGGTGCCTGATGGACGACCGTTACCGTATGATGAGCCGGATGACGTGATAGCAATCATGGAACAGGTGCAACATGTTACACTTACAGCTTGGTACCTTATAGACTGCCCCCTCCCCTTCACGAATGAGACTCCGTATACCTTACCTCAATTACCTAGACCCCGTATACTTAGCATGCCGTTGTAAGCGAATAGCCGTCTTGGCCACTTCGGGCCGTCTCCCAATGACCGTTGGAAGCGACAGTGATGAATGTAAGGGGCAGGGATTCATAGAATAGGTAGTGTACGAATGAATAGACTGTATTGTATTGTACTTCTGAGTACTGAGTACAGAGTAGGACAACAACAAATCCCATGTGTCTTTCCGATACCTGCCCTTTCTACTAGTACACGGTACTTCGTCCGGTACTGTGACAAATTAAGCCTAACTAGTACCTACCTTACCTTACCTTAGGTACCTTATGGTTCCAGAACTTCCAGGCCCCTCCTCCCCTGGCGGCTGCTTGGTGCCTGCCATTGACGTCTACACGTGTCGTGCACATCCCGCGGGGCCGCAAGCCACCTGGAAAACCTTGTCAATCCCTATTTAAACCTTTACTCCGTATTATTTCCTTCCCCGCCCCTTCACCACCACATCGTTCCTACATAATTTCCAACAACATCCTCCCCTACGACCAACCCACACTCCTCGTCATCGTCCTTATTCTCTTACGTGGGCAGTGGCACCCCTTTGTATGACGAGCCGACTTGCATCCTGTTGGTCATCATCTCATCTTCTAACGAACACAACCCAACCATGAGTACGAAGAAGAAGAAATCTTCCCTGCGGGAGCGCACCGCCAGTCCTTTCAGTCGCATTGCCCAAAAGATCTCATCCCTCAAGCCCGACCACTCTCGGCTCGGCGTATCACAATCCGAACCTGAGAACCTCCCTCGCGTCGCTGGCGTAGGCCCAGATGGCCCCGACGTCGCCCCCCTGCGCAATGGCATCTTTAGCGACACCCATGTGGTAGCAGAGTCGAGCATGGAAGAATCGAGCAGAAGTGGAAGTGTAGACGAGCTCAGTAGAGGCCGGTCGTCGATCACGTCTCCCCGACCCAGCTACCGACAGCAGCAGCAGCAGCAGCAGCAGGCGGAACAACAACAGCAACCAAACATGAAGAGTAGGGAAGACGAAGGGCCCGAGCCCGAAGATTCGCTAGACCGCTATGGCAGCGAACCGGAACACCCGGAGCACGCCAGCCAGCAGCTCCTAACCATCGCCGACGCCGTCAAGGAACCCCTCGGCACCATCATCACCTTCCGCGCCAGGATCCACACCCAGCGCCGCATCTCCCGCTTCCTCGACTTCCTCCTCTTCCGAGACCAGGAAGATACCATCCAGGGCGTCCTCTCGCGTGCCCATCCGAACATGGTCCGCTGGGTGCAGCGCCTACACCCGGAGTCCATCGTCCAGGTCACCGGGAAGCTGCAGAAGCCCGTCGAGCATGTGCGCTCGGCCCGCCACTCGGACGTCGAGGTCGACGTCGACACCATCTACCTCATCAGCCCGGCCTCCGCCGACCGCCTCGCCTTTTCCAACTACCAGCCGCCCGACGCCATGAACCGCCGTCTCAATGCCCGCGTGCTTGATCTCCGACACCCGTCGAACCAGGCGCTTTTCCGGGTTCGGGCTGCCATGGTCCGCGCCTTCCGGAGCACGCTTGACGAGATGGGGTTCATGGAGATCAACACGCCCAAGTTGCAGCCTGCTGCTACCGAGTCTGGTGCCGCTGTTTTCAAGGTCAACTATTTCGGTCGGAGGGCTTTCCTGGCGCAGAGCCCGCAGCTCTCTAAGCAGATGGCCATTTCTGCCGACTTTGGTCGTGTATACGAGGTATGGTCTTTTTTTTTCCTTTTTTTCCTTTTTTCCTTCTTTTTTCTTTCTTTCTTTCTTCTTCTTTCTTCCTTTCTTTCTTCCCCTCCTCCTTTTTTCTTTTTTTATGTCGTTCTTTATTCCCATCCACACAAACGCTGACATTCCCTCTCACAGGTCGGCCCCGTGTTCCGAGCCGAAAATTCAAACACCCATCGACATCTTACCGAATATACCGGGCTGGACCTGGAAATGACCCTCGATTTGTCCTACTCCGAGCTCATCGGCGTGGTGGACCGCGTTTTGAAAAACATCTTCAAGGCCGTGCAGTCCATGCCGGAACTAGACGTCGTCAGGGAGAGGTGGCCCAGCACAAACATTGAATACCCCGAAGAGACCGTCATCCTTCCCTTCACCGAGGGCCTCCAGATGCTCCGCGATGACGGCAGGGATGTCGCCGAGGAAGATCTCGGTACGAGAGACGAGATGCGTCTTGGAGAACTCGTGAAAGAGAAGTATAAGACGGACTACTACATCCTAGACAAATTCCCCAGCAACGCCCGCCCCTTTTACACGCACAAGGCCGAAGACCCCAAGTGGACCAACTCGTTCGACATTTTCGTCCGAGGCCAGGAGATTTGCACCGGAGGACAGCGCATCAACGACCCCAAGGAGCTGCGATCGAGCATGCGGGACGCCGGCAACTCGGAAGACGACATGGCCGAGTACCTCACCGCTTTCGACATCGGCGCCCCCCCCCACGGCGGTGCTGGTCTCGGCCTGGAGCGTCTGGTCTCTCTCTTCCTCGACCTCGGCGACGTCCGCTACGCCTCGCTCTTCCACCGCGACCCCAAATCCCTCCCCGCCAAGCCCCCTTCTCTGCCTCACCCGGACGCCGACACGACCAGGTGGCGCGCCGGTGGGGGCGACCAGGACTACCCGCCCATAGAGAACCTGATCGCCAACTACGGCGACGCCAGCAACACCTCCTGGCTCGACGACCGCTTCGAGATCTGGCGCCACCGTACGGGCGCCGCTGTCGGGTACTCGAGGCAGGGCAAGCTGGCCGTGGTCATCGGCGACCCTCTCTGCGACAGGCACCAGTACGAGGAAGTGGCGACTGCCTTTGTCCGCTTCTGCGTCCGCGAGCTACGCCTGACGCCCATCTGGATGCTCGTGTCGGAGGAGATGCACGAGGTTCTGGGGCGGCATCTGGGCTGGCGCACGCTCTCCTGCACGGAGGAGCAACGGCTCGACGCGGACCAGCACGGGGGCGCCCACGGACCCGAGGCCCGCCGCGTGCAGCGCGAGGGGATCCAAACGCGCGAGGTGCGTCCCACGGACGAAAGCTTCCGCGGCCGGGCCGACAGGGCCATCGGGGAGTGGATGGCGTCGCGCACGGAAAAGGGGAAGCAGGTCCACCTCACGGACGTGCGGCCGTGGGTCGACGCCGCGCACCGGCGGTACTTTGTCGCGGAGAAGGAGGGGAAGGTGTGCGCTCTCGTGGTGCTGGCGCAGCTGGCGCCCCGGCACGGGTGGCAGGTGAAGTGGGCGCTGGACTTCCCCGGGTCGCCGAACGGGACAATCGAGGTGCTGGTCGAGGAGGCGCTGGCGGCGGTCTCGGGCCCCGTGACTTTTGGGGTGGGCGTCTCCGAGAGGCTCGTCCCCGGGGAGCATCTGGGGACGGCGCGCGCGCGGTTCCTGGCCAAGACGTACGATGCGGTCGTCAAGAGCCTGGGGCTGGCGCGCAAGGCGGAGTTTCGGGAGAAGTTTGGCACGCTGGGCGAGGCTGTTTATATTTGCTACCCGAAGCATGATTTGTCGGTTCGGGAGCTGAGGGAGGTTGTCAAGTTCTTCGAGGGCTAAGGAGTAGAGAGGGGGGGAGAAGACGTGAGGGATTTGGTTGGTGCCCGGAGTTGCAAGCTTGCAGCATCTTGTTTGATGTTATCGTTACACCTCACCTCCCTGCCGTCTATCGTTCAGAAAACGGCGGTGGGTTTTCTCATGCAGCATTCAGCGTGGAGTCTTTTTCTTTTGTTAATTCTGGCAAGGAGAGCTGTTAGGGCGATACCCCTCTTAATGTCTGTTTTCCTTTTCTTGGACGTCTCGGGAAGTTACATGTGCCCGTCAGACGTTATGATGTGAGTTTATGATCTATTTCTTGTCGTTCCATGGTCTTACAAACCACATGAATACAGATGTTTTTGGTGTTTAAAGGTCATCACGCTCCACCCACTTGGCGCAAGCATCGTACAGCGCGCCAATCTCCTTCTCCCAGCCCACGACACGGTTGTAGTACTCGATGCCCTTGGTTCGGCGGATAAACTCGACGAGGCCAACGTACACAAAGTCGGCGTACGAGACTAAAAAGTCATCATCAGACACGGTGAGACAGAAAAGCAAAGGGGAGACGACCAGTAGAGGAAGTGAACATTGAACAACTTACCTTTTTCACCCAAGAAGAAAGGCCCAGGGACCTCCCTCAAGGCCGCCCCCGCCTTGGCAAAGAGAGGCCTCGCCGCCTCCCAAGCCGGGTCCCCGCCCTTGGCCTCCTCCAGCTCGGCCAGCGACATGCCGAAGAGGTTCTTCCTCGTCTCCTCAAAGTACGGCACGGACGCCTCGCGGAGGAGGTCGCGCGGGACCGGGGCCAGCAGGACGGCGGCGAGGGCCATGAGGGTCTCCTGGACGAGGGCCTGGACGCGGGAGACGGCTGGGTCGTCGACGCGCAGTGAGGGCTCGGGCTGCAGGGCCTCGAGGGCCTGGGCGATGGGGAGGCTGTTCATGATGTAGTTTCCCTGCGGGGTGCGGATGGCGGGGATGGTGTAGGCGGCGATCTCGCCGGTTTGGGGGGGGATGCCGAAGGATTTGAAGAGGGGTTCGATGTCGGGGTATTCGACCCATTGGGTTTCGTAGGGGATGTTTTTGAAGTTGAGGACTAGGCGGGCTGTAAGGGAGGTCAGGTTTTTTTTCCTTCTTCTTTTTTCTTGGGGGGGGGGGGGAGGGGGGCTGAATTCCAATGGCTTACTCTTCCAGGGGTTGAGGGACCAGCAGGCGCTCCGGCCCTTGCTGGGGAGGTCGTAGAGGACGACTTTGTTGTCGGCCATGTTGTCGATTTGGTCGTTGTGAATAGGCCGAGGCGAGGCGAGGCGAGGTGAGGTTGTAGGAGCAAGACTGGTAAAAGTCTGCAAGTCGAGTCTTTCGAGAGATGGAAGAAGTGGGCAAGCCGCAAGACTCCCAAGAGTTTAGTGTTGGGGACCCGGGGCTTTCTATGGGAGAGAAGGCCCGGAAACTAGTGTCCCTTCTCGTATCTATACTGGAGACCTACAGGGCTTTGGAGACCCCGCTAGACGTTGTACACGTTGTACGACCAGTTGAAACTTGACTGCACGAGTCCATGTGGTTCTATTTCGATGCTCTGCGGCCCCGTCCTGTTAGTGAAAAGGGGGTTGTTGACTGCTGGCGGGGTACTGGTTCAGGTGTACACGTGTACAATGACGATCGCCCCACGATAGGTCGGCATTGACCAATCGGCTTATATGGTTTCTCTGCCGCTCCGGATCGCCGAGCCCACCTCCCCGCCAACCCCACATCGGAGGGGGCTGAGAAGACGACCTTTCCGGCTGTAGTTTTCCGCCCGGGGGCCTTGAGAATACGTTGTACTTCCATTTCCAGAATCACATGCTCTTTCGGCCCTTTTGAATGTGGGATCTGCCTCTTTTCAATAATCGCATGTCTAGTGAAGACCAGCCATGGCATCGGGCATCCCGGCAACCAACAACCGATGCGGACATGGCCCCACTTATACGGACGATGTTACCCCACCTTCGGCGTTAAAATGCGGACAATGTCGGACCCACTTCCCGTAAGACCACGATAAGATAAGATGATACGATGATAACGGTGATGGTGTGGCTGTGTGGCTGTGTGGCAGTGCAGCCCCCAGCCACCTCGAATATCCCAAAGCCCTCGACCACGACCACGACCACCAACCAACCTCTTCCTTTTTTCTGCATCACCGCATCTCCGTCTCCATCTGCGGCCACCACTCACGAGTCACCTTCAAGCCAAGACCCGGTCAGAATGCACGAAGAGTCGCCCAGCATGGCCGCAGCATGCGAGTCTGCCCTTTTAAGGTCGATTTACTCACACCCTCCGACTGACTGGATCTCCTTGTTCTCGCGCTGGTCTCCCTGACAGTTCTTTATCTCTGGATCTAAATCGTTTTTTTTCCCCCGCTCGCTTCACAATCGAATGGACTGATGAAAGACCCGACATTAGAATCCTGAATCATGCCCTTTGTACCCAACACTCCCGAATCCCTCGTCGCGAGAAGCGATTCCAAGAATCCAAGAACCACCTGCCGGGGTCTCACCGCTAACGGCCGGCCATGTCGACGCCCTATCGCCTCGTCTGTCTCTCCGACGGAGAACCTGGCCCCTCGGGTGCGAAAGAATGGTGTATTTGACGACGACCCGACCGACGAGTCACTATACTGCTGGCAGCACAAAGAACAGGCGAGCCTCTCGGCCAGATCGACTCCCGCTCGGAAGACAGCCACAATAAGTCCCATTGCCGAGGATAGGACGAGCCTAGATTCCCTCGTTGGCCGGTTAGGGTTGGTTGAGCTGCAGAAGAAGAAACGGTCCAGCGGCACTGGCACGATACGAAGGCACGACAAGCGTCCTGGTCCCAACTACGACGACGACAAGACCATCGCTACATCTACCGCTACGCACGACGATTCGAAGCCGTCCCCGACGATAAACCGACCCAAACAGTCCACGAGACACTTGCTCTGTTGTTGCTTCAGCATTCCCCTCGAAGAAATACCCGAATCACCAGCAGCAGCTCCTCGACCGGCAAGGCCAGGTTCTCGACCTATAACACCATCCCGTCGACCTAGACCTCGCCCCCAACCGAGGCCGGTCCAAGATACCACGCACCTCGCGTCTCTTACCTCTCCACCGAACTTGTCGACGCAATCCCCCGGACGGTCCTCCCTCAAATCCACCACTTCCACCACGTCCCAGACGGCGCAGTACTTCTCTCTCATCGCACCAGACACGCCTCCGCAGACCGCCTCGTCGCTCATAGCAGAGCTAGCACGACCGTATGCAGACTCGGAAGAGCCGGGCTATATCTACATGTTCTGGATGACCCCCTCGTCCGCTCCCGCCCGCCCTCCCGTCGACGCCGCTCGCTCTCTCCTCGCACCGCCTTCCTTGTCCGGGCCCTCCTCTCCAGGAGCGGCCGCCACATCCCGCCAACGCCGCGCCAGCGACATCGTGTCCACGTACGCCCGAAACACAAACGGCGGCGGCGACAACGGCAAACCGAGGACCATGCTCCTCAAGATCGGCCGCGCGGCGAACGTGCAACGCCGCATGCAGCAGTGGTCGCGCCAATGCGGCTACGACGTCGAAGTGATCCGTTACTACCCTTACTTGGCCGGCGCGAGCGAGGCCGCGGGCCGGACGCCGCGCATGACGCCGCATTGCCGCCGCGTCGAGAGGCTGGTGCACATCGAGCTGGCGGGGAGGGGCTTCAAGGCGAGGCGGCCCAGTTGCGAGGCCTGCGGCAGGGACCATAGGGAGTGGTTCGAGGTGGAGGCTACGAGGGAGGGCATTCGGACTGTTGACGAGGTGGTTCGGCGGTGGGTCGACTGGGATGAGAGGGGCAGCGATTGAACGTGAAACTACTATGGAATTTGTCTTTGAAATGGCTTCATGTTGCGTTTGTTTCGTCTATTCTCAACTTCAACGAGGGCCACGATGAGTGAACAGCAGCAGCAACAGCAACAACATAAAAACAAACAACACAAAATAAAAGAAGAGGAAAGCAAGAAACAAGACAAAACGCCGCATTCCAGAAATGATCCGCTTCGAAAGAGTACGCACTCTGGTATGTCTTGTCCGAATCCAAACTCAAGACTGCCTTGCCCTATGACCCCGAACCCCCTGAACGCCCCGAATCCCATAACACCCAAAGGACGCCCTAAACGCCTCGATGCACTCTCATATTATTCAGGCCCACGAGACACGCACGACACGACACGACGACTACTTGGTCTCCTTCTCCCCCGCCGCCTCCACCACATAGCCAGCGAGCTTCTCCATACTGGTATGGGTATCCAGCAAGTCGAGGAGACTAATGTTCGCGCGGAAAGCCGTGTTAAACCAGTTCCGCAGCTCAGCGGCGATCAAGCTGTCGACGCCGTAGTCGGCCACCGTCTTGGCGGGGCTCACGCCCGAAGCGTCGATCGACAGCATGCCGGCCACCGTGGCACTGATCGCCCGGGTGACCAGCGCCAGGGCCTCTCCCCGGCCCTCGGGACCCACGGCCATGCAGGCGTCGAACTCCTCCCGGAGCCGGGTAATCGCCGACGAAGCGGAGCCCGATGCGCCGGCATCCCCCCTCTGCGCGCCGTCCTCTTCGTGGCGGTAGGCGTCGTCGAAGGCCCGCATGATGAGCGAGACGCGGCCGTCGCTGTACCACCTCGGCGGGGCCGTCTCGGCCTTCTCCTGGCGCTTCTTGGCCGCCATGGCCGCCGGGTCGAGACAGGTGACGATGCCGGCGGTGGACAGGGGGTCCAGGTCTTCCTTGTCGTCGTCCTTGTCCCTGCGCGCACGCGGGCTTTGGAGAAAGGCCGGCTCCAGCAAGCGGAGGAACTGGTGCTCCGTGACGCCCAAGACCTTGTTGCGCGCCATCATGTTGACGGTGGTGGCGTTGCGGCCGAGGGCGCCGACGTCCGTGATTAGGCCAAAGGCGGCGGTGGAGGCCGGCAGGCCGCGGGTGCGGCGGTAGCGGGCGAAGAGCTCCTGGAAGTTGTTGGCGGCGGTGTAGGCGCTCTGGGTGGCCAGGGCGAGCACGGATTCCAGCGAGGTGGTCATGATAAAAAAGTCGAGCTTCGTCGCGAGCGTCGCGTCGTGCAGGTTCTTGGTGCCGACCACCTTGGCCGCCAGGCTCTTTTGCCACTGCGCCGCCGAGAGCTTGTCGAACGAGAGGTCCTGCAGGGACATGGCGGCGTGGATGATGCCCTTGACGGGACGGCCGGCCACCTGGCGGAGTGCGGCGTCGAGCTGCTCGCGCACGGCCACGTCGCAGCGGATGGCTTGCACGGTCACGCCGCGGGCGGCCAGGTCGTCGACGAGCGTCTGCGCCTCCGGGGTGCCGACGCCGCTCCGGGAGAGGACCACGATGTGGCGGGCGCCCCGGTCCGCCATCCATCGGATGATGGATCGTCCGAGACCGCCCAGACCTCCGGTGATGATGTACTGCGCGTCGAGATAGCGATCGAATCGCGCGGCCGGGGCGGCGGGGACCATCCTGACCGGGGACTGCGGGTTCTGGAAACTGATAACGTGCTTCCCGACGTGCGTGCCCTTGGAGAAGCCGAGGAGGACCTGGTCCAGCTGCGACACGTCCGAGACCGAATACGGCTTCACGGGACCGATGTGACCGGCTCGGTAGTACTCGTCGACGGACCGCATAAGCCCGGCGCCGAGCTCGGGATCGGCATCCAGGACAAGACCCAGGTCGAAGGAGACGAAGGTGATGCTGCGCTGGAAGAGTTCCAGCCCGAGAGTCTTACTATCCAGCACGTCCATGCGGCCGACGTCGATAAGCCGGCCCAGAGGCGCCAGGGCCTTGAACGAGTCGTACAGCATCTCGTCTTCGCCCCTGGCCGCACTCAGGATGACGTCGAATCCGCGGCCGGCCGTCGCCTCGCGGACGGCGCGCGTCAAGTCGGCCTGGTCGCGCGACGAGAAGATGCGCGAGGCCGGCACCAGCTTCACCTCTTCGGCCAGGAACCGGGCCTTCTCGGCCGTCCCGACGGTGACGAACACGTCGGCGCCGCGCGCCGTCGCCAGTTGGATGGCGCACAAGCCGAGCCCGCCCGTGGCCGACTGGATCAGCACCTTCTCGCCCCTCTTCAGGTGGGTGGCGTGGTCGAAGGCGTAGACGGCCGTCATGTAGACGAGCGGCATGGTGGCGGCCTCGACGAAGCTCAGCTCGCCGCCCCGGACGTCGGGTCGCATCCGCTGCGCGAAGCGAGCCGGCACGCGCGTGAAGTTGCCAAAGTGGCCTCGTCCCATGCCGTACACCCGGTCCCCGACCGACAGCCGGCCCTCCTCGGCCACGGCGGATCCCAGCCGGGTGACGACGCCGGCGTACTCCGACGAGAGGTTGTTGGCGTCGAAGCGGCCGGCGGCGATGCCCAGGTCCTTCCAGTTCAGGCCCACGGCGGCCACCTTGACCTCGATCCAGTCGCCGGGGAGGGGCTGCCAGAGCTCGGTGTAGGGGCGGAAATACAATGAGGTCAGGATGCCGGGCGTCTCGAAGGCGGCGCGGACGGGGCCCTGGCTGTCGAGCGGGAGCGGCTCGGCACGGCTGGGGGGCATGCAGAGGAGGTTGTGGTCCTCGGCGAGCCGGCCGTCGGGGACGAGACGGCTCACCCAGAGGCAGCCGTTGTGCCACGAGAACTCGCGGTCCTCGGCGGCGTCGTCGTTGTTGTCGTCGCGGAAGAGGAGATGGTTTAGCTCTTTGTCGACGATGGAGCGGACTAGGTCGGCCGCCTCGGCGGGATCGTCGACCGTAAAGTTCTCGGCGTCCATGTCGATGGAGAGGAAGCTCGACGACGGGTTCTCGGTCCCTATGGTGCGCAGGAGGCCGGCGAGGAGGGCGCCGTCCGCGTTACGGCCGCGCACCATGCCGGTCGTCGTGAGCCACATCATACTAGACGCCGAACGGGCGAGGTGCTGGAACAGGGCCAGGCGCGAGGCTCCGGCGTCGAGGAGGAGGTCCTTCTCCCCGTCGAGGAAGGCCATGACCTGGGAGCCCTCCTGGACGGTTTCCAGGGCTTCGTCCAGTGGGCCGAGCGTGGCGGAGACGCCGTGGGTTTGCAGCTCCGCGACGAGCTGGTGCGCCAGGGGGGGCGGCGGGCCCTGGGATCCGTGGAGGATCTGGACCTGTCGAGGAGTCGTCCGGGTCTCCTTTCCCTCTGCACGTGCAGGCTCAGGCCCCTCGGCGACCAGAGTCGAGACAATGGTGCTGGCGGTGCTGTGGGGCTGCGGGTAGTCGTACAGCACCAGCTCCACGCCAGAAAAGCCGGCTTCTTTAAGGGCCTTGTCCCAGGACGCGAGGTCCAAGAACGGGCTGTCGATGCGTCCGTCCGGCACACCGTCCCAGTAACCCGTCAGCGTGCCGAGGACGAGACCGTGGCCGATCTTGTTCTGGGTGTTCTCGACCAGCACCAGCCTGCCCCCGGGCTTCATGAGCTTGCGACAGTTGGCGAGGGTCCTGCCGATGCTGGGCGTGGCGTGGAGGCACTGGGAAGCCAAGACCACGTCGTACGTCGTGCTCTCGTCGTAGCCCTGCGCCGCAGGCTCCTGCTCGATGTTCAAGACGCCGTACCTGACGTCGTGGAAGGGGGCCATGAACTCCCTCGCGGCCGTCAAGAAGCCGGGCGAAATATCCGTAAAGGTATAGTCGTCGTAGCGCTTCACGCCGGTCGAGGCGTCGACGAGGGCCTTCATGACCACGCGCGTGGCGCCGCCGGTGCCGGCGCCCAGCTCGAGGATCTTCTGGTTCGGGTTCGCGTGGCCGAGGAGCTGGAACACGCGGAGGAGCTGCGGGTAGGCGCCGGTCATGGCCAGGCCGCTCTCGTACAGCGCGGTAAGCAGGCCGGCCTCGACGAGCACCTCGACGCCGGTGCGCCGCTCGTACAGGATGTCGGCCATGTCCTGGTGCAGCTTCTTCGCGATCTTGACCTCGATCAGGTCGCTCGTCGCGCTGTACAGGGACGCGAGCCACTGCTGGCGCGCCGCGGCCGACATGGTCCTCGCCTGCGTCATGGCTTCCGTGTCGTCCTGCTCGACGCGCCTCTTGACCCAGGCGAGGAAGAAGCGGACCTGGTCGGTGGCTTTGCTGACGTCGATGACGCCGCCGCCAAAGGTCTCGTGGATGTCGATGACGATCAGCGTGGCGATGGCGTGGATGCTGCGGAAGAGGTCGGCCCGGTCGACGTTCTCCTGGGGCGGCGGGAACAGGGCCTGGGCCTTCTCGCAGGTCAGGGTGCGGATGTCCGGCTTCCATTCGAGGCGGGTGAAGGGCCCGGAGAAGGGGAGGGATCCGCCCAGGGCATCTTCGGGGGCGGTCGAGGAGTCGCCGTAACTGATGCAACGGAGCGACGCCACGTCCAGCATCAGCTGCCCCGACTGGTCGAGGAGCTGCAGCTGCGCGTAGGCGCCCCTGAGACCACGGAGTTCTCCTTTCGCGACGCCGACGCCCCAGTCCTCTTGGTTGCCGTGCTTCAGGTAGACCTGGGAGATGTGGATGGGCACAAAGGCGGTGCCGGCCGTCTCGATCTGCCCCCGGTGGCAGGCGATGAGGCCCAGCTGGAAGAGGGCGTCGAGCGAGGCGGGGTGGAGAGGGTAGGACGACTCGCCCCCCTTAATAGTCCCGGCGGTGGTTTTCAGGGCCAGCTTGGCGCGGGCGAGGTGGAGGGCCGGGTCGGCTTCGACGTCGGAGAGGCCTTGGAAGGCGGGTCCGTAGCCGAGGCCGATCTGGGCGAACTTGTCGTACCAGGCGCGGGCGTGAATGGTTCGGGCGTCCATGTCCGCCTGCATCGTGGCGGGGCTTGCGGCGGCGGCAGCGGCAGCGGCAGCGTCGACCTGGGCTTTGACCAGACCCGTGCAGTGCTCGGTCCAGACGCCGGATGCCCGGGCCACAGAGCTGACGGAGAAGCGGACCCAGGCCGGGGCTTTCGCCGTAGCCGTGTCGACGAGCTCCAGGGTGACGATGACCTCGACGCCGTAGTCGTCCTCGGGTACGCGGAGGGCCGAGTGGATGTTGACCTTGCGGAGCGACGAGGCCACGAGGGGGGCCGCGTCTTCGAACTCGTAGTGCGCGCGCGAGGCGGCCTCGACGGCCATGGCTACGTAGCCCGCCGCGGGGAAGACGACGTCCGGGAGGAGGCGGTGGTCGCCGAGCCAGGCGAGGTCCTTGAGTCGCAGGACGTTGCGCCACTGGGGGCGCAGCTTGGCGTTGCCGGGCAGCTTGGAGCCGATGAGGTCGTGGCGGATGACGCTCCGGGCGCGGTATTCCTTGCTGAAGCGGCTTTCGTGGTAGACCACGGGTCCGTAGGCGTACTTGTAGGGCGGCAGGTCCACGGCCATGCAGCCGTGCTCGTAGGAGACGGCATGGGTGCGTGTGTTCCCTTTGGCCGCAGGCGCAGGCGCAGGCACACGCCCATGCACATGCACGTCCGCCGAGTTGACGGCGACGAGATCGACCGAGGCGTTCAACCCGAAGAGGGAGCCGGCCATGGCGAGGAGAGAGGCTTGTCCGTCGCGTTGGCGGGCCAGGGAGGCCAGGTAAGGGGTCGACAGGCCCAGCTGCTTGAGGATCTGCTGGACCGGACTCTTCAGAGCCGCATGGGGTCCAATCTCGATCAGGACGTCGACGGCTGCACTCTTGGACGTCACGAGCTTCTCGACGGCCTGGGAGAAGCGGACGGGAGACTCGAGGTTGGCCCTCCAGTACGATGGTCCCACCTGCTCCCCCCTATTGGACTTGTCAGGGGTAACGGACGAGACCCAGGGGATGGCATCGTATCGGTGCGGCGTGTCGTGGAGGCCGTCGTCAGAGTGGTCAGTGTCACCGCCGAACCCGTGGTCCTTCAGAGCGCAAAGCCCGTTGCCCAGCATATCCCCGTAGTCGTTGCCCAGGGGCAGCATGTGGTGCGAGTGGTACGCATTCCCCCCCGTGGCGAGCACGCGGTGGAAGACGCCGGCCTCGGTGAGGGTGGCGGCCAGGCCCTGGATGGCGGGGGCGTCTCCCGAAAGGGTGATGCTGTGGGGGGAGTTGATGGCCGCCGTCACGACCTTGCCCTCCAGCCCGTCCATGTAGCCCGCGGCTTCGAGGTCGGCGAAACCCATGCCGACGGCGAGCATGGCGCCCTGCTGCTTGTTCTGGGCCACGGCCTGGCCGCGGAAGAAGGCGGCGGCGATGGATTCGGCGGCCGTGGCGCGGCCCGAGGCGTAGGCGGCGGCCATCTCGCCGGAGGAATGGCCGACGACGCCGCTGGGCCGAATCCCCCACGACGCCAGGAGGTCGACGATGCCGACTTGCAGGGCCGTGCACACGGTCTGCGAGACCTCGGGCGTGTGGACGAGGGTGGCGTCGCATTCGCCCGCGAGGACGTCCCGGATGGTCCAGGTCTGTGCATGTGGTGTGAGGGCGTGTGTCCTCCGGTGCGCCGGGCCGATGGACGAGATGACGTTGTCCAGGTGGCTGATGGTGTTGTTGAAGACAGCGTACTGGAACAGGTCGCGGCCCATGGCGTGCCACTGGGCGCCCTGGCCGGTGAAGACGAAGCCAAGGCTGGCGGTGGTGGCCGGGCTGGTGAAGACGGGTTGGACGTCGTCGGCGTCGGTCAGCGCGGTGATGGGGTCGTTCTTGGAGACGATGCGGAAGGTGCGCTGGGTGAATTTGGTTCGCTTGGCGGCTAGGGTGTAGGCTATGTCGGCCAGGGAGTGGGTGGTGGTGGCGGTGGTGAGGACGCTCGAGAGGGCGGACAGGTTGAGGGGAAGAGAGGCCTCGGAGTGGGCGGAAAAGGGGAGCAGGACGAGTTCACGCGTGGTGGCGCGAGGGCTGGCGTGCAGCTCGAGGGGATGCGTGATGGGGGTGTGAGAGGTTGCATGTGTCTTGTGGCCGTTGGAATCTCCGTTGGCATGACCGTTGCTGTGTCCATTGGGATGCCCATTGGTATGCCCATTGGTATGCTTGTTGCCGTGTCCGTTCGCATCGTTCGCAGGCACCAGATTCACCCCCGGCTTCACATACCCCGGCAGCACATTATTCACATGATCGATAATGCAATGCCCATTCGCGCCTCCATACCCAAAAGAGTTAATGCTGGCCCTCTTGACCCGGCCCGCCGGCCAGGGGGTCACATCAGTCAGCACCTTGACCCTCGCCGCCGCAAAGTCGATGCCCGGGTTCAGGGCCGTAATGCCAATGCTCGGAGGAATCAGCCCGTTCTCCAGCGCCAGGACCACCTTCATGATCCCGGCAATGGCCGACGCCGACTCGGTGTGGCCCAGATTCGTCTTGACCGATCCCAGGTACAGCGCCTCCTCGGGCGTACCGGTGCGGGTCTCGGCGAAGACGTTGCCGATGGCTTCCACCTCGACCGGGTCGCCGACGGGGGTGCCGGTGCCGTGGCACTCAAAGTACGTCGTGTCGTCGAGCGGCAGGCCGGCGTTGCGGTACGCCTCGCGGATGACGGCCTCCTGGCCGGCCTTGCTGGGATGGGTGATGCCGCCGGTGCGGCCGTTGGCGTTGATGGCCGTGCCCCTGACGACGGCCCGGATGGGAGACCCTTGCTGCAGGGCGGCGCTCGTCCTCTTGATGTATAGCGCCGCGAAGGCCTCGCCCCTCGCGTAGCCGTCGGCCGAGGCGTCGAAGGTGTGGCACGTCGACGTGGCCGACAGGGCGCCCAGCTTGTTCATCATGATCTGCATGGTAGGGTCGATGATCCAGTTGGAGGCGGCCACGATGGCCGAGTCGCAGTCGCCGTTGCGGATGGCGTTGATGGCGAGGTGCAGCGCGTACATGGACGACGAGCAGGCCGTGTCGATGGTCAGGCTGGGGCCCTTGAGGTTGAAGATGTAGCTGATCCGGTTGCTGAGGAGACTCAGGCTGCTGCCCGTGGTGACGTACGGCCGGGGGTGGTCCGGGTCGCGGCTCTGGATGACGGTGTGCTCGGTGGTGAAGTTGCCGACGAAGACGCCGGTCCGGGACCCGGAGAACTGGTCCCATGTCTCGCCAGCGTTTTCAAAGGCCTCGTAGATCACTTCGAGGAGCTTCCTCTGCGAGGCGTCGAGGGTCTCGACTTCCAGGGGTTGCATGCCGAAGAAGGCTGGTTCGAAGAGGCGTGCGTCTTCGGTGAGGAGGAAGCCGCCGCGCGTGGAGACGGTGCCGGGACGGTCTGTGTTGGGGTGGTAGAAGCCTTCAGCGGAGAAGCGGTGGTCGCCGTAGTCGCGGTAGCCGGATTGCTTGTTGCGTAGGAGCTCCCAGAGTCCGGGGCTGTCACTTACACCACCCGGCCAGCGGCAGCCTGTCCCAGTGTTGTCAGTACATGTATGGACTCTACAGAGTCGGACAAGAAGACAGCAGAGAAGACAGCAGAGAAGACAGAAGAGAAGACAGAAGACAGAGACAAAAGAAAGAAGACGCAGCACGAGGCAAGGGACTGCTCACCCATGCCACTGATGGCAACAGGTTCCGGTTCTTGTTCTTGTTTTCCGTCCATGTTGGTTGAATGGTTGAATAGTAGCAAATATGTGCTAGGGATCCCACTGGATGGTCAGTTGATGACTCTGTTGCATCGGCTGCGGTGGTTTGAGCCTTTGAGGTGGGAAGGCCGGATTCGATGTGATCTAGGGTCGACTTTATGGAATATCTGGAGTCTGGAGTCTACGGGCTGCCTCAACAATATAGAATCATCTTCTGACTTGTTTACCCTGGGCCAAGGACAACTCGACTGCATGTGTCTTCATCTTTCTGAAATCCTTATCTCCTCGCCGAGCAAGGTCGAGTCCAAAGAGTCGGAGCCCGAGCTTGAGCATCTCGGCTGCAGCATCGTCGTGCATGGTAGGAGTTGGTAGACGTAGGACCGTAGGAGTCTGACCTGGGTCACCGTCCCGAAGCCGAAATCCGAGACTCGTTCATGTTCGCACGAACCCCTGAGCCATGTCAAGTTGAACCGAAGGATAGCATGCCGCATGGCCCGACATAATTCGGCCAGCAACATTTCACAGAGGCCGAATTTCGTCGGCCGATAGTACAGCAACCCCGTGCTCTCACTCTCACGGCTTTGGCTTACGCGAGTGGACGTCTGACATGCAGCTTCATGCTCCTACAGTCTACTCACATGTCGACGGTCGTTATCACATCATTCTATCATATCTTAGGCCCCCCGAGACAGCAAACCAGACACCAACTCACAATCTTCATCACTTGCTTGCTATCTTGTCGTCCCGACTCCCAGCCACCGACTCCACGAGCTTACGGCAACATCTCCTCAGTCCTCACCATGGCCATCCAGAAATCCAACCGCAACGGGGCTGCCCCCACAACAGACCTCGTCACCCTCGCCGACAACATTGCAAGCCAGACCAAAGCCATCGCCCAATACCTCGAGGCCAACAACGTCGAACCGCCCTCCTTCTCCCCGGCATCCAGCCAGCTCCCCAACACCGCCGAGTACGTCGCCCTCTACAACAGCCTCAAGACGTCGCTCCAGGACCTCGAGCGCCTCGTCGACGGGCCCAAGCGCTGGCTCCGCTCGTTTGTGTGTCAGGGGAACGACCTCGCCGCCCTGCAGGTCGCCTTTGAGCTGGACTTTTTCGGCCTCGTCCCCGCCGCCGAGGAGATCTCCATGGGGGACCTGGCCGCTGCCGCGGGGCTGGATGCCGACAGGACGGCGCGCGTCCTCCGCATGCTCACCACGCACCGCATTTTCCAGGAGCCCCGGGCTGGCTTTGTGGCGCACTCCGCCACGTCCTTGGTTGTTCATAATGATGAGGATTTGAAGTGTGCCGGGGCTTACACGTCCGTTTTGTTCTCTTGTTGACCATTTCTTCACCCTCGACGAAATGTTCAAGGCCTCTCCCTCCACGACCGACTGCCTCAGGGCATCCCCCTACGAGTCGGACAGCATCCATTCCCCGTTCAACACGAGGCATGGTGTCCCCATGTTCCGCTATTACGCCGAGAGACCACGTGAAGCCGCTCGTTTCGCCAAAGCCATGACCGGCGTTGCCAAATGTTCGTACATGCAGCCTTCACGTTCCCTTGGAAGCCTCAAGATCCCACATGCAGCCCCCTGAAGACTCGACGGAGGATTAACTGGACGCAGTGGACCGCCCCATCACCGAGCTGAGGGACTTCTTCCCCTGGGAGACGCTTTCCGGCACAGTCGTGGACGTGGGCGGCGGAAACGGCCATATTTCCAGGGCCCTGGCTCTTGTAAGTGCATGATGTGACATTGATGTGTGCCCCTATCCTCTTCGTGCTGCGTCCAGTCTTCCCGGACACATCATCTGACGCGAGACCACACATCCAGGACTTCCCCCACCTCAACTTCATCGTCCAAGATGGATCCCCCGAGATGCTCGCCCAGGGCCAAAAGATGCTGCCCCCCGCCCTGCAGGGCCGCATCAAGTACATGCAGTACGACTTCTTCTCCCCGCAACCGCTCCGCGACGTCGCCGCCTTTATCATCCGCCAGTGCACCCACAACTGGTGCGACCGCGACGTCGTCAACATCTTCCGCGCCTTCGTGCCGGGTCTCGAGGGCAGCAAGCCCGGCACGCCGCTGCTGATCAACGAGGCCGTCCTCCCCGAGCTTGGTGCCTGGCCCGCCCACGAGGAGCGTTTGCTCAGGCAGATGGACATCCTGATGTTGATTGGGTTGGGGGCGAAGCAGCGTACGAGGGCCGAGTTTGAGGACCTGCTCAAGCAGGCCGATCCGAGATATGAGGTCAAGAGTGTGTCTGTGGATGGTGCTCTGGGCTTGTTGGAGGTTCATCTGAATCACTGAGGTCTACCGTTGGTGTGAGGAATCACATGCAAGAGTAGGATGGCTGTATCTTACTGTGGAAATCAAGTCCATGTCAGGACTCAGGGCCCAAATATCAATGTTCTTGATTCTCACGATGCATGTGGCGTTTGATGTTGTTGTTCACTCAAGTGTGTCCACATCAGTCCTCGCCTTATACTCCGGTCCCTGGCCAAAGTTGAGATTGCCCTGCCTAGACACATAGTCCTGTCAGCATGGAATGAAATAGGTTGGGGCCAGAGTGTGCTGCATGCCATGATACCGTGATACGGCCTTTCAACTAGATTATACGAAATAAATACACCGTCTACACCCTCCCAAAGACTGTGCCCCTTGTGCTGCCGCATGTTACGCCACTGGAACCAGAAATATACTAGGAACAACGCGGTCTTGGTATTTCATTGCTCTGTCGGGCTGTGGAAACGATAGACATGCAAAGTCTTACACGGAATTCAGACGCTGGAGCGCATCCACAGCCGGAGCCTCCTTTGCAAGGAGATCAACCGTCTCCTTCCAAAGCTTCAACTGGGTCTGTTTTCCTGCCGGGGACAGAACGAAAGATGACGGACTGTATCATGTTAGCATTTGATGTCTGCATGTCGCCAGAATTCCAAGATGGAAAACTGGATAAGACCAACACGTACTTCTTCACCTTCTGCTCACTGATATACGCCCCCCGCACTTCGCCATGAAGCGCCGCCGCGTCCGCTATGCAATGCCCACCCTGCGCAGACGTCCACGCGATCAGGTTCACGGCCGTGGTGGCCTGCGGATCGGTCCGATGGAGCGAACTGGCGCAGAACCCCGGATTGACCGTGTTGATGACAACGTCGAGCTGGAGCTTGGCGGCGCGGTCGCTCAGCTCGCGGGTCCAGAGCACGTTGAGCAGCTTGCTGGTGCTGTAGCGCTCAATGTTCATCTTGTCGAGCCCCTTGAAGCATTCCCGGTACGCGTCCAGCTCGGCGAGCATGTGGGGGGCGTGGCGCTCCTTGAACTTGGCCCAGAAGTGGTTTTCCGAGGACACGATGGTGAGGCGTCCAGGCGTGCCGAGGGCTTTGGCGGTGCGGTCGAGGGGAGCGAGCATGTGCACGGAGAGGAGGGCGGTGCCTAGGTGGTTGACCTGCCGGGGGTTCTTGGTTCAGTCGGACAGTCCATGCATTGATGATATGTAGTAATAACATGACCATGCGGGTTATTCCAGTATTGTCCTGTGCCTTTAACAAGAGCATGAACAATTCAAGACGGATAAATTCAGGGGGATACAGAAGCAGCAGAAGCACAGAAGCAGCAGAAGCAGAACAAACCCCCCCCACTGCAGAAACACGCGACGAAATCAAAAATCCTACCTGAACATGCGCCTCGTGCCCCGTCTTCGACGCAACATAATCCACATTCTTCACCCCCGCGTTGAGGATGACAATGTCGAGACGATCCAGCCCGGACGCTCGCCTGCCGAATGCGTCGAGGCTCGCAAACGATTCGTGGTCGACCTCCCAGACCTGCACGTCGACGCCCGGCGTCTGGGCCAGGATCTGCTCCCTGGCCGCCTCGCCCTTGGCAACGGCGCGCACCGCGAGGATCAGGCGGGCCAGCCCATGCGCCGCCAGTTCTTTCGCTGCTTCCAGCCCCAGCCCGACATTGGCACCCGTCACGATGGCCGTCTTGCCGTCGAGGCGGACGTCGGCCGCCAGGGGCTTGGGCTTGATGGTGAGTTGGCGGTAGAAGAATCCTGCGAACGTGCCCATGATGTAGATGTGTCGAGGTGCAGAACGGAGCGGATGGGGAGCGAGGGGGAGGGAGATTCGTGCTTCGAGAGCACGAGGCGCGAGGAGGGTATTCGAGCGAGTTTTCGACCCTACTAGATATTCTTTCCGCCCGCAATAGGAGTAAAGACGATAATACTATGGAAAACTGCCAAGACCCTCGGCCGACGAATGTCGGTTTACCGCATTTCATGGGGCAGTTGGCGGTTGGCGGTTGGCGGTTGGCGGTTGGTTGGCAACCTTGTCCTTGGTCCTTGGTAGGTTGGTCGCAGATTTGGTCGTTGTCTCTCATTATCCCGTGCGCTTTTCCTTTTCCCTCTCTTTCCCTTGCCGTACTCCCATCAGCTGTTATGTGCTTTTCCCTCAATATGCAAGCCGCTGGTTTAGGTTAATAGTCTAACCACTGTCCATCCAGCCCCTCAGCTCTCAGCCCCTGACCATGGCCCGGCACTCCATCGGACACTACGGTGGACTGCCGGCCGCCCCTCCTTCTTTCTATTCCTTCTTGTTATCCTCGGTGACTGCTTCGGCGTGTGGACAGCGGACAGTGGACAGTGGACAGTGGCCCTGCTTTAAACGCCAGACGTTTCTACTCCGTTACCCGTACACCTTAATCCACATGCTCATCCTTCTTATAACTCACGTGGGGGGACCTACGTTTTACGCGCAAACGCTCTAAACCACTTAAAAGCTATATTAATCGATAGCTCTTTCTAAGCTCTATACGCCTATCTATAGCACTGTATCGCGTAGGCGCTATTTAGGGCGTAAAATAAGTGCGAAAACGCCTGGAAACGCACCTACGGGTGCCCCACGTGCGGGGGAAAAATCTGATATAGCCCGTGCGCCGCTAATAAAGCAGCCGCGCAGAGCCGTAGCCACTAACGCCTCGCGACCCTAGCACCCTATAAAAGACCCCAGCCATAATAATAGCCATAGTACTAGCTATAATAACGCCCTAGCCCACTATAACGCCCCCGGAACTAACCCTAAGCCCCCTATAATTATAAGGGGCTTAGGGGAGGTAGAAATAGGGGAAACCCCTAAAAGCCCTATAAATACAGGGACTTCTACCTTTATTACGCCCTTTAATTCGAAAAGGCAGCTTAGCCCTTCGACCCTAACCCCTAGAAGGTTTTCTAGGACCCGAACCGAGCCCCCCTCCGACTCTAAGGCCGAAGGCCTCTTCGAAACGCCCTCTAGGCCCCCCCCCCTGCTGAAAAACAGGGCCTTATAGGCTCTAAATAGGCTAAAAAGGCCCCTGGAACTGCTAGAAACCCCTCTACTACGCCCTAGAAGTCGACTAGTTTGGCTAGTAAGGCCTAGGCTAGGGGGCTTCTCTAGCAGGCTTTTTAGCTACTTTAATAGGCCTACGACCTCGACCCTATGCCCTAGATTAAAGCCCTATCTACAGGGCTTAAATCTGCTATCGACGGAACCCTATAAGGCTCCTAGCCCCCTATACTCGAGCAGAAAGTCGACGAACTAGCCTAAGCAGTTCGTAGGCTTATAGAATAACCTAAACCCCTTTATAGCGAGGCTATAAAGGGAAAAACAGGCTTTATAGCACCCCAGGCCCCCTAAAAGGCCTTAGCACTCTTAACCCCCCCGGCCCCCCTCCCCACGGACCCTAAAAAGGTCCCTAAGGTTATTTTATAGTCTATAGCAGGGGAAATAATCCCCCGGGAGAACTTTAATCCTCTTAAGCTCCGGAACAGGCTAAATAAGGCCCTAAAAATCTCTGCTATTACAGCTATTAGCCTATTAACTAACGGGAACCTTTTTTTAACCCCGGGCCCGAAATATAGCGTTTAGCAGCTCCTAGACTCTTAGAATCAGTGGTTTAAGGAGCTAAACCTGCCTCTTTCGCCCCCCTAACCTATAGGCGACTAGTTTAAGCTTATTATTAAATAGGTGCCTACTAGGGCCTTCGGAGGAGGGGAAACGCTATTATCCGACCCTGCCGACCCTTCCGACACACCGCTAAAAGCCCTGAACCGCAGCCTTTAACTGGGCCTAGGTTTAAAGTACCTAGTTACTAAAATCGGCACCTTTAACCCTATTAGGGTAGTAGGGAAGCCTCGCTGGCTAAGAACCCTAGACGGGCTTCACGGCACTATTATCGTTTTAGTACTAACTACTGAAGAGCAGAAATACTGCTTAAAACAGGGGCTCTATATAGCCGGCCAGCGGCTAAAGGTCTATAAATATAGGCCTATAACCCCTAGGACCCAGTACTCTAACTGCTAGAAATTCGGGTATACCCGAGGGATCTATAAGCGCCTAACTACCTGCTCTATCTACGCTATAGAGGGCTATAGCGACGAAGACCACTACTATAACGAGTACGAGGAATACGGCGACTACGAACACAGGACCTATAAGTGCCATAACTACGAGGGGGTATACCCCCCTTACAGTACAAACTACAAGGTCTTTCAAGCTATTAAACCCTAAATCCTATAAATAAAGGGTCTTTTAGTTCGAAAGAAATCCGGTTTATTCAGCATAACGTCGATAAATAGGGTCCGGCGTAGGAAGCTATCCTAGAATAGGCTTTAGAGGCTTCGGCTAATATAGTCCTTATCTAAGAGCCTTCCTACGTCCTAAAACCAGAAGGGTAGTATATTCGAAACCACCTAGCCTTCTATACTATCACGCCTATATCTCGGAAAACCCAGTTTTTTCCTATTAAACCTAGGGTCCTTACGTATATAAGAAAGGGCTCGGGTATCGAATTTTCACACCGCGAAGACCTTCTAGATAATATAGACACGCAGCTTATAGAGGTCTATTATCTGCAGACCTTCTATATCCTAAACGTCTATAATCAGATAGAGCAGAATCCCGAAATAATAGGCAGAGGGCCTTTAAGGCCCCTTAGCCCTACCCTCTCTACCTCTTCTACTTCTTCTTCCCCTTCTTTTCCTTCTTTTTCAGGCTCTCGAAGCCGACCCTGGACCGAAGATCGCGTGCTATAGGGCCTTTAGGTCCCTAAGCCGACCCTTATTATAGGGGACTTTAATAGGAACCACTAGCAGTAGAACGGGGCTACTACGAATCAGGCTTCTATTAAGGCCTAGGCCCTAGTAGACTGGTTAAATAGCCTTGAAGCCACCTGTTTAGTGGATCCTGAAGAAGTTAACCTAAACGGGGGGACCTTTTTTAGGTCTAATCTTCGTCAAAAGTCGGTTATAGACCTAGTATTTTACACGCCCGGCTTTAATCGTCTCCGCTTTTATAAGTGGGAATGTATCGAAAACACTCCCTCCTTACACCGCGCTATCCTGATTTCAGCCTCTATTCTAGGCTCTAAAAGTCTATCAAGGAATAGGCTATAATACCAGGGAAAAGGTACACCGTAGCGGATAATACTATTAGGCTTAATAGTCGTATATTTCTTAAGACTTTAACTTAAGGGAAAAAGGGTATTTTTCCCTCTACGCTAATATAGCGATTCTAAGGTTTTCGCCGAACACTTAGCGGCCCGAGTATATCTCCGACTATATATAGTGCGAATCTATAGTGCTACTCTATTCCTTATACTACCCCCTCTTTAACGGGACTAGTCCTTTAGGCCCGTTTTAGCCCCCTTAGTAGGTCCACGCGATTTAGCCTCGCGCGAAGCTTATCGTCCAGTTAGCGATTTTAATTAGTTACCGTTATAAGGCTTCCTAACCTCCTTCTATAATATTATAACTTTCTTCGTGTTAGCCGAGTAATCGGTAAACCGTTAATGGTATAAGCGCGTGGCTAACTCGCTTACCTATTATGATTCCTATTCTAGCGTCTCGTATAATAATCGGCGATTACTCGCCGTGTTTCCTAATATCACGCTTATCGCTATTCCTTCCTTTATTATTATAGTATATATTATTACTAAATTTACGGTTACTATTCTTTATACTTACCCCTTCTTTAGCTAGATTCGTAACTAAGGCGACTATTCGCCGCGTAGATAAATTTTCCTTATTCCCTTTTATAGTTATTTTCCTCTTCTTTTCCCCTTCCTTATATAATCCTTTATTCTTTATAGTACGTTCCTAACTTAACTATAACGTCGAATAATCGCCGTATAACTATTTCTATCTTTATTTTTATCTTTATTCCTAGTTATAATTAGTTTGTACCGTTAAGTATTTGGTAATATATCGCTTTTACTTAGTATACCTCGGGAGCTTCGCTCCTTACCGTATAATACTAATATTAGGTTTATCGGCGGCTACTTAACAGAGCCGCCCTACGGACGCTATATTACCTCTGTAGTAATAGATATTTATATTAATTATATTAATAATTCTAATAGTAACGCTTATTATTATATTATTTATACACGCTCTTACTAAGCTTATATATTTATAAGTTCCCCCCTTAGTTTTATCGAGCGCTTAGTATCTAATACGTTTTTAGATTCCCGATAAACTCTTAGGCGCTACCTAATAGATTTAGAATATTATAACGGGTATTATAACTCTTAAAGCTAATAGCGAGCTAATAACGCTTAGTCGCCGCTATTTCTATCTCCGCCTTTAGGCGGCCTATAAATAATTTCGTAAAGCTTTAGACGAGATTACCCGCCCGCCCGCTATCGCCGTCGCTAATCGTCTTATACTTAATAAGTTATTATTTATCCGGTCTCTCTTAACTATTAATCTTATAATACGGGTTTGTACTTACCGCTCGCCGTTTATATAGCTTCCGTTAATTTTAGTTAGGTTAATAACCTTAATATCGCTGATACTCGCGCCCTTATAGGTATAGTAATCCCGCCCTATAACCGTAGTCTTATTACCTTTACTACTTTAGTTTAGGCCGTTTATAAGCTTTATTATACCGAAGGTGGAGAATACCCCGCTAAGCGCTTAGCGAGACTAACCGGTTATACTTAGCGCGGTATAAATATATTCCCCTAGCTATTAGGCCTAAGTTAAGCTATAAACGCCGTTACTAAACCCTATTATCCCATTATATTTACCGCGTAT